TTTTGGGACATAGCATCAGTGTGGAAAATGCCTTAAACTTGCATTCATTTTAATAACCAGCAGGGGGCAATTTCTGTGGTTGTAAATTTCAGTGATATATTAATCTTTGGGAAAGTTACCCTCAGCTCCTTTGATGTGTACTGTTGGTAATTTAGTAAATAATGGTCCCAGTTACCTGCAACCGCATTAACAGAAAAAGTTAACTTAATTTTTCTATGATACCTAATTTGAAAGGTATCATAGTCAAAACCCTAAACCTAAACCTAACTCTAGACTTATTGGCAGTGGATGCTAAGAGTTAAGCTTTTCCAGCTTTAGCATGACTCTAAGAAAGTCTAAAATACACCCAGCAGTGGTCATGGAGTCAGCTTCTCTTCTCTGTGCAGGTATCTGTACTGTGGGGAGCTTTCTCTGCGTCTGGACCAGGCCACTCCTCTACACAAGCTGGCCACTAAGTATCAGGTGCTGAGTCTCCAGCAGGGCATCACCCAGTACATGACCCAGAATCTGGCCAGGGACACCCCGTCAGGCCACGTGGCAGGCTGGTACGAGTACGGCCTGCAGGCCGGGGATGTGACTCTGAGGGACAGCTGTCTTCAGTACATGGCGTGGAACCTGTCGTCTCTTCTGCAGAGCGGCGAGTGGGTGACCATCAGCAGCCAGCTGCTTATGTCCCTGCTGCAGCGTTCAGACCTCGTCCTGCAGAGTGAGATGGAGCTCTTCTCAGCGCTGGAGGCGTGGATTATCCAGAACGATCCGGACGGTTTGACGGCTGAGAACGCTTTGAGAGCTGTGCGCTATGCCATGATCCCCCCACGGGAGCTTTTCCTCCTCCAAACCCAGTCCACAATCCTGGCTCGCTACCAGGAGTCGGTGCGCGACCTGCTCTACATGTCCTACCAGTTTCACTCGGCCTCGCCGCTGCAGATGGCCAAATACTTTGACGTGAACTGCAGCCTCTTTGTGCCCAGGAACTACCTGTCCCCGGTGTGGGGGTCCCCCTGGATCATCAACAACCCGACACGGGACGACCGCAGCATGAGTTTCCAGACCCAGCTGGGGCCCAGCAACCATGACGCCAACAAACGCGTGACTTGGAACGTCCTGTTCTCCCCGCGCTGGTTGCCCCTGAGCATGAGGCCCATGTACACCGAGACGGGCGCCATGCAGCCGACTCGCGTAGATGGCGGGCGTCCTCGCATCATCATCACGCCTGCCACGTCCAGCACCGACTTTGCCGGAGTGAGCTTCCAGAAGACGGTGCTGGTGATGGCTCAGCAGCAGGGGAAGGTGGTGGTGAAGCACGTCTACAACTTCCACCAGAGCACGGAGGAAAACGGCGATTTCTTGGCCGAAGCTGACCTGTACCGCCGGACGTCTGAATATCTCATGGACAGCTCCCTGTTCCTCCATATTGTTGTGAAGCCACTGTACCAAACCCTCATAAGCACCAAGAATTAACCTCACTCCAACCCTCACTCATATCCCATCATGGAGACGTGGACCTGAGTCATTGGAGTCACTGAGCAACTAAAAAACAAAGATCCTGATTCAGGTCTGCCTCAGAGCATTTTGTGAGGGTAGAATCATAATGGAAAGATGGTGATAGTCTGTATTCGTCTTGTCCAAGTGCTGAAAAAAACTCACTAGAGGACCAAACAGAAATTAATCTGCCACTGAAATTAGTCCCCAAGAAATGCACCATTTCATCCAGGCTGAATAGTGTTTAATAAAAACACAGCATCCAACTATCTGAGAAAATTACTGCACCATAAAAACCTGGGGTATTAAAGTTTAAAGTGACGTGTGGGCTAACACGCTAATAATTTTGGTCTTTTTATGGGATTTATTGGCACTCAGGAAAATGCAGAACATCACCAGCTTCGTCCTTTATTCTCGAGGTTGTTTCTTTGTCATACACTGATTTGTTACTGGTGCTATTATACCCCATTTACACGTAAAGGGGTCACAGTTGATATTCACTGCCCGGTGTGCACTGATCTAAAGCTTTGCTGATTAAATTACACCCTGATGTTAACGTTTGCTGATGGATTTTGTATTAGCTGTTTTTGTTTTTTTGATTATATTTTGTGTTGTTGTGAAATATGGTTGAAAAATTGTAGATGGCTCAATTTTTTAAATCAGTAAATTGTTAATTCAGTGCTTACTGGAAAGTGAATTGATTTTTTAAACATTTTTCTTCTACTTGTATGTTGTAACTTATTTAGAAACCCAACCTGTACTCGTACCTCGTTAGCGAATCCATTAATGTGATCGATGCTGCATTAATCAGTGTCCCCTGGTAATAAAGATTGTTTCCTAAGTTTTAAAAACTAAACTGAATATTGTCCTGATTGTCATCCGGCTTATGTTTTTTCACCACATGCAAAAAATTATTTTGTGGCAAATTTCAGTTTATTAATTGTTTTTTTTTTTTTACTTTATCAAATTTATTACTCAGATATTAAAAAAACATGTAAGTAAGAAGAAGCAACACATTCTTTTGCTTACGTTTAAAATTTTAAATCATTTGGCTCCCAGCTATCTATGCAAACTCCTTCCTAATAAACTCCCTAATAAACGAACTCCCTAATAAGTCACTTAGATCTTCCAATCAAACTCCTGATGCAACCGAGGTCTCGTTTGAAGTCCAGAGGTGATCGGGCCTTTGCTGTCGTAGCTCCCAGACTCCTTACATTCGTTCCTCTGAGTCGATCCAGTCTTTTAACAGACCTCTGCATTGAATCATATCTGTTATTAACCTGTCTCTCTTCCACAGCATGTCTTTATCCTGTCTTCCTTCTCTCACCCCAACCAATCACAGCAGATGGCCGCCCCTCCCTGAGCCTGGTTCTGCTGGAGGTTTCTTCCTGTTAAAAGGGAGTTTTTCCTTCCCACTGTCGCCAAAGTGCTGCTCATAGGGGGTCATATGATTGTTGGGTTTTTCTCTGTATCTATGAAGCGCCTTGAGGCGACTTTTGTTGTGATTTGGCGCTATATAAATAAAATTGAATTGAATTGAATTTTAAATTGTATTAGTCTGGCTTTTGATCCAAACTAGTTTGTTATTTCGAGGCTAGTTTTTGTTTCAAACAATTGTCATATTGTTTCCTGCCCTCTTTTTATTCTGTCTTATGCTTTTGCTCTGACCGACTGTGAAGCACTTTGGTCGACTTTGTTGTCGTATTATGTGCTATAGAAATAAATTTTGATTTGATTTGATATTGCAACTGCTTCATTTAAGCAGACCAAAAAAATGCTTGCCTTAGGTGGACACAACGCGTAACATCCCCTCCAAATCTAATAGAAATAAAATAAATAAGAAAAATGAAAAATTATTATGATATTTTTTCTTATTAAAACCACAAAACTGCTTTATTACAAGCAAATAAAAGCTTTTTCTTTTTTTTTTTAGCACATAGATGTATTATTATGGCTTCATTAAAATGTACTGTAGGATAATCCTGATATATTTAACTTCTACTGTGATTCTCACGTGTAAGGCAAAAATTCAGAAAACAGATCACGTCGATTCCATCCTCCTCTTTCAAACTTACTAACAAAAACATGCTGAGACAACAGAAAGAAGAAGTGACATGAGCTCGTCACCGAGGACTTGGTTTCATCTTCTGAAACGGAAAAAACATCATGAACTTTTCTGTAAAGTCAAGTGTTGTTGTGATTTCTGAAATATTGTTGTGTTCTGTACCTCGCAGCCCCTGTAACGTCTTATTTACGTGATGTTATTGCTCTACGCTTCACAGCGTTTTCTGTCTGGATTCTTTGTGTAGATGCAGAGAGTGTTTAAAACAGCTGCGATTCATTTGATCAAGTTTCTTTTTATGTAAATTTATATTTTTTTTCCTTTTCACTGCACTGACATCACTGCTGACTCTTCAGATGATAATTCTATAAATAATAAAGTGATGCACAGAGCTCAACAGCAGAAAGCTGCACAGAAATCAAAGGAATAGTAATAATAATGCAGCAATAATTCTGCTGCATAATCAGCGCTTGAACTTTTGTACTTTGCTCGTTGCTCATATTAAACTCGCTCAGTCTCAAATAAAGAAATCAGCGCAGGCTCGAGTAATCCCTGAGCGCCACGGGTTTAAACCTTACTGACCTGCCACACTCACCTTTCTCCCACAGACTGTTTTTGCTTTCTCTGTGCTGACTTTGAGCCGTGGTGTGATTTAATCAGCTAATTAAAAAAAACATTGAACCAATTTCAATCATAATTCTTCCTTCGGATGTTCCCTATTGGGGGTCGCCACAGTGGATCTCCTGTCTCCATCCCACCCTCCTTCACTACATCCGTGATCCTCATTCTTTTCCTGGCAGCTTCATCTTTAAAATCCCTTGTCCATTGTATCCACGATCCCTCCTCAGCACACATCTAAACTCTTTCAGCCTTGCTTTTCTAATTTGTCTCCAGTCAATTCAGTTTTATTTATTAAGTGGCAAATCACAACAACAGTTACCTGAAGGGGCTTTATATCAGAAAGCAAAAACCCCACAAAGGTCACAGCGCATCGCCCCTGCATGAGTCTGAATCTAATGGAAGTCTCTTCCTGTTAAAAGGGAGTTCTTCCTCCTTGCTGTTGCCAAGAGCTCTCTTAGGGGTTCACTCTCTAATATCTTTAAGGATAATATAGAATAATAAGAAAAGAAGCTGAGAGTGACTTTTGAACGAATACAGATTGAATTTATTACAGAATGTGCAGATTTCTTAGCTGGTGCAAGATTTTTTTATGTGTTTTACAAACTATTGCATCATGAAATCGATGCTGAAAATGTACAAAACCCACCAGAAATGAATATAACAGTCGGTGTTTCCCGGGTGCGTGCACAGACGAAACCCACACCCACTCTTTTTTAGGATACGTTACAAACTTCAGCGTCTTTGCGCTTTCGAAAATAAAACGCCGCAGCGCTCACTACATTTCCCACAAGCCTCCGCGGCCCAAGCAGGAAGAACGTTCTCTCGCAGGGGCTCACACTGATCCAAGTTAGGAGCTTTCAGCTGCCAGCCTTGGCCCATCATGTAAGTGCTGCGGAGAATTCTTTGCAGTGCGTTTGCAGAATTACCTGATTTCCCGACGGCCGTGCATCCGTCCCGGCGCCCTGCGCACGGACGCGCACGCTTCGGACGCGAAAAGGCTCCAAGTGCATGAAGATCGAGGCTTGTGTTTTTGCATCTTTGTTGCAGAAAGCGAGCCGCTGAAGCTCCAGTGCGAGGGCGATGGAGGGAGGGAGTGAGAAAGAAGGCAAAGTCTTTTGTGCTTCCCCTCCCCCTCATCAAAGCAAAGGGGAAATGTCTCAGCCGAAGGGAGGTAAGAATATGAAACCGATGTGTGCAAAACTAGCGATATGCAATCACGGCTGCACGAGCTGCAACGTGCACCGCTGCAGGTCGAGAACGGCCGGTGCATTTTAAAGTTAGACGGCTAAGAAGGGTCAGTTGCATTTCCTGTTTGAGATCTTCCCCTTTGCACAGTTCCTGGTAAGACGATGCTGTGTGGACTCACTCGTACTGGCGCTATTAGCAGCGCACAGGCGGGGATGTGGAGCACGGGGCGCCTTAATAGTCACGAGATAGACGGTCTTTATTAGAAACTCTGCACGAGTTGACGCGTGGCGCGTGCACGCTTTTCGGGGTAAATCGTGAAAGCCTTGTCGCGTGCAGGGCTCTAAATTTGTGGTTTGGTGCATAGGGGAGGGGGTGGTGGGGGGGGTGGCATGACGTGACAACCTGCAGCTGTCAGTGGACAAGTTTGTGTGTTTGTAGGCTGCAAATTAATTTCAGGTCGTGAGGAGAGAAAATGCAACAAACTGATGGCAAAGCGACGGTGGAGGGTTCAGGAACAGGGCGCGCTCTCTGGGCTTTGCAAAGTGTGTCAGCTGCTGCTTCTGTCCAGCAACTGGATATGTGTCAAACCCCTGGGTGTCCACCGATGTGCAGCTTTTTCCCCCCCTCTGCATGCCTGTCACACTTTTGACCCAACTTCACCACCCTGCAGCAGCAGGAGGTGGAGGAGGAGCTGTGCTCAGCCTCCCCCCTGCAGCCTCTTTAAGATCATCAGTGAATGGAGCTGGCAGTGGAAGAGCCAAACAGCTGCAGTGAGAGCAGCTCGGGCCTTTTTTCTCTTCCAAACTCCCCTCACCGTGATTTCCAAGAAGTGCAAAGCGAGGCTGGTTTGTTGCACAACATGCAGCATTCTCTCTCTCTCTAACACACATGCACGCACCGAGAGGCTGCACAGGAGGTGAACAGGTAGGAGAGAGCAAGAGCCCCCCTAATGGTCAGATCCTGTTTATCTGCTCCAGTTGAGTGTCCACCCACACGGAGGAACTGTCTTGTTGCAGCCAGCTTATCACGCGGTGAATAATGCAACACCTTTTATTTATGTTTTGTAGATGAATGAGTTGGTTTGGGACTTTCCTGAGAGCAGAAGTCGGTTTCTGTTGTCATCCATTGACGTCGGTAGAAGCAGAAAACTGCACACGTGCAGTCGCACGAAAAGGGGATGTAGGCCCAGTTAAGATCTCGTCTTTGATTTAAAATGACATCCACTTGGTCGCCTTTCAGCTGAGAGATGATTGGGTGATCGCTCTGCAGCTTTTCTCAGTATGTAAATGTATTTACTGATGTCTGCACGATGACAAGTCATTATAACATCTGCTCAAGGCTTCTGACATCTTGGACCTGACAAATATTTCTCCTTTAGTGTGAAACAGTAAACATCAAAACAGTAAAAACTAGCCTCAGACCGATTATTTAAATGAAATTCAAACAAAAAACCAAAACAAATTAAAAAGATGTGCTGTTTCTCTGACTTTCTGTGGATTAGTATCAATACTAATAGATAAATACGCTCTCGTAGTACATTTGTAAATGATTAAACTTCTGATTAAAAACTCCACTGAGGTTTGCAAGAACCCTTCGGCTGATCACAGAGCACACGGTGTTATTGCCACAGGCTAAAGACGGGAAAGTTGGCAGCATTGTTAACGGGGGCACATTTTGCTGGCTGGCTGGCCAGGTCGCGCCCCCAGGTGTGTGTGTGTGTGTGTGTGTGTGTGTGTGTCTATGGTTGCGCTGAGCGAGTATTTTCACCTCATGCTGCAGAGGTGCGCTGTGTATTTGCATTTTATGCATCAAAAGCTGTTCCTCAAGCTACATTTTCAGACCAAATTCTGAGAGATATTTGCAGAAAGTGGAGTTAAGAAAACAGATTTTGGAAATGTTGGAAAGTGCGCCTCTTTCTTCTTCATGTTCTTCTTGGCTTTTTACATGCTGTGTCACATATGTGATTAGATTAAAACAGATTACAAAACGTGATCTTTTATAGACCGAGGAAATTACTGAGCTGTGTATAAAAGAGTTAAAAATAGCTCCACCAACTACTGTGGTAAAAATCTGTTCAGACATGAATACATCAGGAAATGATGAGAAAAAATAAATTTTAATATGAAATAAAAGGCCTTTTACCTAGAATACATTTTGTTTATTGCAGCTTTGTACACTAGGGTAATATAGAGCAGTAATAAGTCAACTATAGCAGTTATGTAGACCTTTGGAAAAAATATATATAGTAAATATAATTTACTTTGTCGTACATCATAGTACGCTGGTTATCTTTGGGTTTTCATAATTGTTACGGCTCTGATTTCTAGTGAAAGCAAATTCTCATACCAGAGATGTTGGAGCCAACAAATATTTTGACTTGAACAGACAAAATACTGAGTTCAGAGGTGCTCATTGAATTTTCTGACCTGCTATGTAAACAGGAGAATCCAGCGTTTTCTCATAGGTTTATATTCTGTCTGTTGCAGGAGTGCATATGCACGCATGCAAGAAATCATTGAAAAATATCTATAAAGTAAATGTGTACGCTTTGCAACATAATTTATGGTTGGTTATCACACCCAAAAAGTCTATTTTCATGAACTATATTTCATCATTATTCATCACAGTGTTGCGTTTATTGGTACTAAATATTACTTGCTATCAATAGCCTCATAATTTATGTTGTGATATTTCAAGAGAATTTGTAGTAATGCCATTTATGACGATATAGAGGTAACTGAAGCGTACAGGAACCAACAGTTATGAGTGCAAACTAAGTTAAAGGGAATTTTCAACCAGCGACTGTCAGGGGTCGTCACAGCAGACACATCAGTATGATAAACTACCCAATGTGCCAGCAGCAGAAAAAGTAGAGCCAAGTACCCTGGGTTAGGGCTGTTCGATATAACGATATATATCGGACGACGATAT